GGGAGGGCAAGATGAAGGGGAAGAGGGGAAGGGAAGGGGCGGTGCAGCCGCCTCAGAGAAAGGGAAAGTAACGCGTGAAGTAACGCTGCGGCTCGGCCCGGCCCGGCCCGCTCGGGCTGCGTTCGCAAACGGCGTCTACTAGGCGTCTCCGTCGGCCGCGCACGTCGCGGGGGGACCAGCGAGAAAGCGAAAGTGACGGGGGGCGGACGCAGCCCCCCCGTACCCGGCCGGCCGGCCCGGCCCCCCGGACCCCGGACGCGCGCGGGCCGGCTGGCGACGGCGTGCTCCGGGCCAGTCTCCAGCTGGACGCAGAGTGCGGACGGCCCCTGAGCCTGGTGAGGTAGCACCGCACAGCCGCCGACATGGTGGCCTCATACACCCGCCTGGGGGTGCTGATGGTGAGTGGAGTGGAGTAAAGTGTAGTGTAGTGTAGTGTAGTGTAGTGTAGTGTAGTGTAGTGTAGTGTAGTGTAGTGTAGTGTAGTGAGTGAGTGAGTGAGTGAGTGAGTGAGTGAGTGAGTGAGTGAGTGAGTGAGTGAGTGAGTGAGTGAGTGCACCTGTGAGTGCACCTGTGAGTGCACCAGTAAGTGCGCAAGTGAAGTGTCGCGATCCCATGAGTGCCACGCAGTCACAGTGCTTCAACAAGTGCTCTCCTGTCGGGTGAGTTCCCATCCCAATGCCCTGCAGTAGTACTACGAGAAGTCGTGAGTGACATTCAGTTACTGAAATAAAGTGTGAAGATGGTCACGTCGACAAGTGTGCAGTAGAGTACGCCACGCTTTTCCCTATTTCCCCCCCCCCCCCACACTTTTTATGTGTGTTATGACACGGTTTTCATGATTCCGTGAGCCATGTTCGTATGTGTGAGAGTACACTTTTTGTCACCCGCCCGATTTTAACTGAATGACTCATAATACCCTTTATCTGTAGACTGCAAGAGGCGCCGTTCTTCAGTCACTGATTGTAGAGCAGAGGGCACCGGAGCGCTTCCGGCCGCCGCCGCCTCTTCTTCGGCCCTATTTCCTCAACGCTAGTGAAACTCTAATAAGCCCCTACCGAGTTCCTTTCGCAGCGCGTTGCAGGGCGGGTCACGTCACCGTGCGCCGCCGGCGAGTGACGCGCAGACATAACTTCCCTCCCCACGAGTCACCCGTGTGTCCGTGGATGGTCGCCGCCCTACTGTAACCCGCAGCACTGCGCATGTGAGCGGGTTGCCCGCCCAACACGACGCTGTCTCGAGATGGAATCCAGTCGGCAAACAGAGGCGTCGTCCAGGAAGTACGTTTGTTTTCTTCAAATTAATTCGGCAGATTAGGGGAGCTCGGCGCCTGCGAGACTCAAGGTAGGCCACCCCGCAGTACACGCATGCACTACAGACTAGATAGTGTCTACCTACCAGGGGCTACGGGAGCTTGCTGGGGCTGAACTTGGCAACTTCGCGACGGCGAATGACGGACGTACTTTCTGGATGATCCCAAACCCGTGCACCGCGCACTGCGCGCTTGCATGCGGTAGTTGACCGCAAAACACAAAACCCTGCAGGGCATATCACCTATCTGCTGCCACAGGCATACGTGTGGTCACGTTCGAGAATCAAATCCGGTCGCAGTATGAGCGGAGAAGATGGGCCTCCTCTCTCAGTAAACACTAAACGGCTCAGTTCACGCGCAATCACCGATCACTGGGATCGCGTCCTTTCCCGCCTGTTCTTACGACGATAACAATACTGATGATGATGATGACGCATAGAATCGGTTTCGATCGGCGTCGCCGCGTCCCCGGCCCAGCTCACCTTTGCAGGCGCCCCGCGGGGTCCCGGGGTGCTGGCCGCTGGGCGCAAGAAAGGCGAGCGCGACACTGCGACTTGAACCCCGGGCGGGGCGGGCGGCCGTTAGCGCCAGGCCGTGGCCCCCGGCCGCGTTTTTGCCCATTATCTGCTCGCTGGCATCTCGTTGACCCTTTGCGCCGCGCGCGACTCACCTGATTGGCTGAGCGAAAGAAAACCTCTCAGGGAGGGATCTCCCCTGCAGCCTGCAGGCCGCGCGGTGGGGGCGAGGTGAGCTAACCGGGGGACCGGTATTAGAATGAGAAGGCGGAAGGGAAGTCTCGCCGCGGCGGCCCGGCCGGCGGCGGCCCCGGAGTGGAGGGGGAGCCATCCGGACCGCTGCAGGACTCCGGGCGGCGCGCCGCCGCGGCGGCACAGGCGGCAGCAGGCTCCGGGGCGTAACCTCACCGTTACATCACGTCGCGTTGCACAACGCTCTTGAAATGCTCAGCCGGGCCAGGACAACAACAACAACGGGACGGGCCCGAGGATGTGGAACTAGGGGCGTTGCGCACCTGTTTGTGATGTGAGCCGTAGAGACCTGCGCCGCCGCTCACCGCCGCTCACCGCCGTTCACCGCTGCTCACCGCCGCTTACCGCCACTTACCCCCGTATACCGCTGCTAGCCGCTGCTCACCGCGCCTCCCCATGTTGCAGGTGGCGTGCGCCGCCGTCCTGCTGGCCCAAACCGAGGCGCAGAAGGGGGTGCTCACTCCAAAGGCGCCGAACTTCCAGTACTTCGAGAGGTTGGTGGAAAGACATTTAACCGCCCCCGCTGCAGCCGGCCTCGACAAAGTTTAACGCTGTGTTTGTGATTGCAGACCCAAGTACCGATACCCGTACTACGATGAGAAAGGAAGAGGCAAGCTTCTCTACGGATACGGCGGCTCCGACCTGTACCAGTACAAGACTTACTCCCCGCTGGAGGGCATCCATTAGGTGTTAGGACATTAAGTTAACGTTGGCTGCACAGCACATGTCATGGTGCACACTTCAACCCGTCATCCCTCATCCAGGTCTTACAACGGGCGTTGTTCGCACTGGACATGCCTGCGCAAATCATCGCTCCACTTATCATTTTCATCGAACTATTTCATTATCATCATCATTATCATCAAATCATCATCATAATTATCATCACCACCATAAATATCATATCACAATCATCATTCCATCTTGATCACCCACATTTGATTTCACTTAACACCGTCCTTGCTATCATCTGAAATTTGATGTATCATATATATTATCCTCCAAATTTACATACTTTTAGGTGTATCGTGCAAATTATCATTGACTCCAAACGCATCGATGCCATTGCTCAGTGTGCCAATACCTAAACTGCGTTAATATTAATGCTCAACCTAATGCTTTAATTTGTGATACTTCGATCTCTTTTTAGATAAGACGCCTCTATCAAAATGCGCCCACCATTTATTATTTCATGGATACGTCGCACACATTTTGTGTCCCCTTCCTTTTCTCCATTACCAACTCATTATCATATCATCATCATATCATCGTCATTATCATTATCATCATGTCATCATTTTATCATCTTCATCATCTACCATTAATCATCCATCATTTATCATCCATCATTTATCATTCATCACTTATCATCCATCATTTGTCATCCATCATTTATCATTCATCATTTGTCATCCATCATTTATCATTCATCATTCATCATTTATCATCCATCATTCATCATCCATCATTTCACATCCATTATTTGTCATCCATCATTTGTCATCTATCATTTGTCATTTGTCATTTATCATTTGTCATCTATCATTTGTCATCTATCATTTGTCATCTATCATTTGTCATCTATCACATTTATCATCTATCATTTGTCATCTATCATTCATCTATCATTTGTCATCTATCATTTGTCATCTATCATCATCATTAATCATTATCATCAATCGTTTCCCATCACCCATATCATTCCTCATGATAATCAATCATTTCAACATTGTAGCACCGCCAGAAACATTCCCAGAATGTTCCCTGAACGTACAGCGAACATTCATAGAAAGATTCGAGCTACTATGGCATCATTCGCATCATTTATTCACCAAACTCATCATCCATTTATACATCTCATCACTCATTTCAGTTATCACGACATTCATTCACCAATATGACTCTTTATGATTTTTCTTCTTAACTTCTCATTCTCATAAGAAATTTCTAATTTTTCGGAAATCATTCATCATTCATTCTCATCTAATCAATCATTGATCATTAGATTAATGTTTCGCATTCTCATCTATTATTATCATGAGGTTAATGATTCTCATTCTCACTTACCATTGATCATGAGATTAATGGTTCTCACTCTCATTTATCATTAATCATGAGATAAATGATTCTCATTCCCACCCATCATTGACATCAATGATTCTCATTCTCATAAACCATTGTCGTCAAAGATTCTCATTCTCATTTGATCATTCTCATCTTATCATTCTCATCACTCGTTCTCATCTCATAACTCTCTCATCTCATTATTCGCATCTCATCATTATTATTGCCCCTCTGATCAATAAGTCTCACCAATGATTCTCATTCACATAATTCTTTTTCAGAATTCATTCTCATAATTCATTCTCATCATTTATTCTCATTCTCATCATTTATTCTCTACTCATCATTTTTTCTCATTCTCATCATTTTTTCTCATTCTCATCGCATTTATTCTCACTCTCATCATTTATTCTCATTCTCATCATCTATTCTCATCAGTCATTGTCATTCTCACGATGCAGTGTCATTCTCATAAAACATTGTCATTGCTCATCATTCATTCTCATCCTTATGCACCAGTGTCATCCTTATCATTCATTCTCATTCATCATTGTCATCATCATCAATCATTGTCATTATCATCAATCATTGTCATTCTCATCAATCATTGTCATTCTCATCAACCATTGTCATTCTCATCAATCATTGTCATTTTCATCAATCATTGTCATTCTCATTAATCATTGTCATTCCCATCATTCATTCTCATTTCATTTATCATTGACCATGAGATCTATGATTCTCATTCTCATCTATCATTGATCATGAGATCAATGATTCTCATTCTCATCTATTATTGATCATGAGATCAATGATGCTCATTTTCATCTATCATTGTCATCAATGATTCACATTCTCATTTATCATTCTCATCAATCATCCTCATCAATCAATCGCACCAATCATTCTCATCAATCAATCTCATCAATCATTCTCACCAATCATTCTCACTCTCATTCATCATTTTCATTAATGATTCCTATTCTCACTGTAGGAACGAAGGTGTTAACGGTTTACTGTTCTTAGAAAGGCATTAAACAGAATTATTGCAGTATTCCTGCATAGTTTTGACTGTAAACACTGAAAGTTGAAAAAAACAAAACAAGCAGAATGTGACCACATTCTGGTCGCGCTGCACTAACACCTTTGTTTCTTCAGTGGGGTCCCCACAATGCGACGCTTATGATAGCGCCTGCGACGCGCAGGGTAGACCAACCCACCAAGCAGCTGTGAGCAGCTGGCAGCACACTCAAAGCGTCCCTATTGCGGGGGCTGCGGACAATCATTAGCATTGACGCACCACGTCATTCATCTCATTATCATTCATCGTCATTTTTCTCATCATTCATCCTCACTATTCATTATTCATCAAACTCATCTGATCATACTTTATCATTATTCATCTGAGCCCCCCCCCCCCCAACCCAATCCATTTTAAAGGATTGGTTACCATCAACCCTTATCATTCGCCCAATTCATTTATCTCATTCATGAATTATTCACCTTCATCCTTATCCCAGTTATCATCAACTTGCACATTCCCTTGTCGGGCATTGTCATTATCATCATTCATTACTTACGCTTCAATGGACGAAGTTTTAAAAGCTGTACTATTTGCAGTGGTGCCTATTTTCATAAACGTCACTGCCATATATGTACTAAAATAGCAGGCCTAGTATATTTGATTTGGATACAAACTATCATGAGTGATGTGCCGACATGTGCCGACAAGTGCAGCTGACGTTAGGTGAGCCGGCACGATTTTATTGTAATCTGTCTTTCTTCTTCCTTCCTGTCTTATATGTTAGTTGGAAACAGTTTCCTGATGCACAATGCAATGAATGTAAATGCGTGGTGTTTTTTGCACTTTGCTTATTGGACGCGCAATGCTAGGCGTCTTTCAGCTGATGGTTGACATCTCTTACAGTTTGCGCATGCATTAATATTCTTGAATAAATCTGTCATTAAACTTGTATATTGTGAAAGTAATTGCCATGTACAATTTTCCTTACGAAACCCTAGTCAGTCAACTTTTTCTTCTACTTTATAGTGTTTGGAAAACTAGCTGTTGACAGGCTGGTGTCAACGCAACTTCTATACTTTCTATTTCGAAATCATTGTTCTCAGGTGCACGGTGTTCTCTATCTTAATTGCAACTATTTGCGTCTTAGAGTAGTTCTAGATAACTCGTTGGATACTGTGTTTTTAAATAAATTATGCCTGTTAATGTTTTTCACCGGCCTCTCTCCGTGCTCCTCCCTCCCCTCCCACCACCAACCCTATATCGATGCAGCCGACGCAGCGCCAGCCCCGCCTTCAGTGATGCGCCGCGATGCACCCCAAGGTCAGCACAGGAGCGGTCAGTGCCGAAACCTTGGTCGCCCCTGTGCCCCCTCCCCTCCGGAGCCCCCGCCGGCCCGGGGCCCCGCACCCTACGAGGGCCCCCCGCAGCGCTGCCCAGTCCTCCCAGCCCCTCAAGCTGCACCACTATCGATTCTTGCAGGGCGCGCAGGGCGCCTCCCCGCGGTGGACGAGAGTAGGGGGCGTCGGCCTCCCCCCCCCCTCATTCTCACTTATCATTGATCATGAGATTAATGGTTCTCACTCTCATTTATCATTAATCATGAGATAAATGATTCTCATTCTCACTTATCATT